TAATTTGAATGCTTATTAGATTTGCTTACAGATTATTTGCCAGAATTAAATGTTGAGTTAGCTTTAATCCTTTTCGCAATTTCTAATTGTTGCTTCCTCTTCGTTTTTTGCAGGTAAGTTCAACCCTTTTGCAATGCGAATGGATACTGTGAGTAAATTGAATGGCTCTGTTTCCACTGACTTGTGGGAGGTCGCTTAAAGTTGAAGAGAAGACCAGAGGAAACCCGTTTCCTTGCTGGGCAGAACTTTATCATTTTTCAAAATGCATTTAATTTCATTCCATTTTGTCGCATTTCACTTTTGGGCGCCGTGTCTCTTTCGCTCTTTGACAAATCAGACGGAGGCAAAGTTATAAAACTTCATTTGTAAAAGTGCTACGTCATGCCGGGGCTGTCTGGCGGGGGCGGGGGGCGGAGTGGGAGTGGGCGTGGGCGTGGCCGGGTCCGTGTGAGGAGTGAAGGGCACGAGTTAGACAAGTCATCAAATAAATCCCTTTTAGGTATAAAGTTCTTTGCTTTACTTTACTTTTGCCAGCCACCCCCTCGTTTTCCCACCCCCTCGCTTTTCCTTCTTGTGTCTCTGCGGAAAATTTTTTCATGCTTGAACTGTTTGAGCGGAGAATTCAGCAAGTTCTGGCGTTGTTTAACAAACGCCAAGGACAATGGCAGCCGATTGAGTCCAGTGGCAGTTGCATCGCCGCGCTTTTCCGACTCCCCATTGATTAGTTGGCAAACAGTGCAATGGAAATTGTTAGATAATCATATCATGTCCGCCCACTTTGCCTATTTGAGCTTGTCATCAATCAGGGCATTATGGCCAATTGAGCCAACATTGTGAATTTGTCATGGCTTAAGATCGTTTAACTGCGATGACATCTAATTGCCATTCACTTTCTCGACCATTCGGGCATATCCTTCTTTCGGTGGCTTTCCTGTCAATTTCCATTTGAGCGGATATTTGTCGAACAAACTCGATTGATTTTCCAAGCTCTCCGCTGCCCCTCCCCTTCACAGCTCATAAGCCACAAAATGCATTTCTAGCAATTTCCTTGTTTGGCCCATTTTTATGCCGCATGTTGCATGCTCCCACTCCGCCCACCTCATCTGCTTAGTTTTTCATCCAGACTCAGCCTTGACTCAAGTTTTTCAGGAAATCATTGCACCCAAAGGCGGATATATCCCTGCCCTGCCCGCTCCCCTTTCCCCTGAAATGCATATAGTGGTAGTGTAGTAGTGGTAGTGTTGCACATACATATATACGATATATATGGATGGGCCATATCCCCTGTCCGCACTCTCCTCCCAGCTGTCTTCGGCACTTCAGCCGACGCTTAAGTTGCACAAAATGTAATACATTTGATTGCACTCATGTTCAAGTTCTGTGGCCAAAGTGGCTGCCGGAGTTGGAGCAGGAGCTGGAGCTGGAGCTGCTCCTCAAAGGAGGAGGAAAAAGCGCAGGGATCCATGGCGATGTGCTCCACTTTTCAGCCATTTCCCAGCACGATTCCTGCCATCAGGTTGCCGGATTCACGTAAGTGAATGCGGATGCCGTTCGTGGGTGTGGGAGCCTGAAAATGCTACAAATTGATAGATCCGCTGGCACATTGGCAACAACAGCCAGTAGCAGCCAATTGCCAACTATCTGTTTATTGGACCAAGCTTGGGCAAAGGCCTGGCTAAGTGCATTATGTGAGGACGAGATGGATGAGCATATTCCAAGCTTTAAGTACTCACTGTCCAGGGATTTGCTTTGCTGCATGAAGAAATAATATTTCAATATTTGGTCTCGGTACTTTGGCATTTTCCTATGCGCTGCTTGACGTAAGCAGGGAGTAAATAAATGAGTTCCTTAAACCTTAAATCTTTCGAGCTAAGCTTTAGTAGTAGTAGTAGTCCCCCCACACACCCCTTTCATTAATACCGATTTGCTGGGAGTGGCCCTATGCATCATTCACAATTAAATCTGATTAGAGAGTTAGCGGGTCCATCAGGCTCAATCAAAACTGGCATGCCTAGTGGACCATTTGCAGTGGGACAGTGCCGGCGTGCTGGGCTAAATGGCAAAACTGACTGCCTGTCGCCGTGCCGCCCCACTTTCCCCTTCCAGTCCAGCACACCATGGCTAATAGCCTTTCACTGACGGCGGGCAGTGCCACCATTAGGCCGGGAAAAGCGGGGGTGGGGATGGGAAAACTTCTGGCGCTGGAAAACGGCAGTCGGTACGACGACATGGACATCCGCTCAGGTTGAGGCATCGACATGCTAATAGCTTTGAACTTTTCGCAAATTGCAGGCAGTGCGCACCAACCACCCACCCACCGCCTTTTTGCCACTGGTATTGCAGTGGCAAGTGCAACTGCATTTGCGTTGGACTGTTAATTACCGTTATTGAACTTGTTTGATTGGCACAAGTTGGAAAGTTGGGCGCACCAAGCAAACGCTGACCGCCGTTGAGCAGCCACGTTTACCCATGGAAATCGGATTTCCCGGGCGGATGTATGTTTGCAGGGATGTGTGTGGGGAAACTGGGAAACTGCCCCACCTGCCACATGCAATGCAAATACAGGCAACGTGCCAGCCAGCCACTTGGATAATATTTCCTGCAATTAACAAGCTTTTACCTTTTTCCTTTGCCAATAATATGATATTCCTTTCTTTTATACGCACACAGCAGTATCTCATTGCATTAATTTATTTATATTTCCACAACATATCCGGGAAATATTTACGCCGAGCATTGAGGTTACATTTTTGGAGTTCCTTCTCACAGAGTTCAAGGCTTGCATATTAATTCTAAATCAGATTTACATACCAACAGCTATCTGCTTGCTTAACTTCGTTTGTACACACTCATCATGCACTCCATTCGGTTACCAAAAAGGGGCAGCAAAACAAAGTGCAGCGGAAACGGAAATGCATTCAACGCCGCCTGTCAATTGACAGGCAATGGCCAACACAAAGGCAGAATGGGCAAAACAAGATGGCGGACATCGTCCTTGTTGTCCTTGTCATCGCTGCGCTTTTCCCACTGTCATCGCCATGTGGACATGTGTGATTGTGCGATTCTGTTCCAGTGGCAGGGCGATCGCCTCGTTGTTTTCGTTGATTTTCCCACTTGGCTTCGCCTGCCATATGGCTAACGCGTTTGGGGCATGGCGTCATGGCATCCTGCTCCTGCTCCTGCTCCTTCTCGGGCTTCTTCGGATGCTAAAGTTGACTTTTTACTGATTTGAACTGCAAACTTTCGCCATAGTTTGGTACTGCTGCTTGTTGTTCTTTTTCACAGCCACCGAGGGATTTATGGGCGCTCAAAGTGCTTCTCGCTTCTCAGCGCTCAACTCTCAACTCTCGAATCTCGCTTGGGTGTGAAGTAAAAACTTTGTCCTTCTAAGTAGGAGAACTTATATATGAATAAAGGTGCACATGTACACATAGATACGTGGCACATGAGTGGGTGAACGGACAAACGGACACTGGAACATAAACTTGTGCGAGTCAGTGTGTAATCAGTTGTAAGCCAACTGTAATGCCAGCAGATGATATCGATTCAATTTTCGGTTCTTTCGGGGAGTGAATCTTGTTAAGTGGTCAATTCATTAATATTGGCTTCAGCTGCTTGACTGCGAACTGCAAAAAATGTGTGCTTAATCCCGAAAAATAGCACTGCCAGAGGATTTATATCAGCTGGAGATGCAAAGTAAGGCAACTATCAACTGGGGCTAAGTTATGTCCAATTCGTTGGAGGGAAATGGCGGAGCAGACTCGGTGGCTTTGTCGATGGCAATTGCACTGGTTCTGTGAATGCAAATTTCGCAAATTTATTGCCAAGCCATTTTGCAAATTTATTGTCCCGGCATTAGTTGTACGCCCACTTTAGCAACCAGATGCGTTTAATATAGACTTCATCTTAAGATATCTCCCCAAATGCAAGGCTTCACAATCTCGAGCTCTCGATGCTGTAATCCGAAATGTTATCGTTTGAATCAGCCTGCCGTCAAGCTCGTGTGGAAAACTCAGTTTTCGCAAACGTAAGTTTAATACATTTTGCTGGCACGAACTCAATTTCTTTTACGCATTGCTTCCTTCGCTTTCACTTTGCTTCAATTTATAAAATTGAATATTGGTGGCGAAACTCGATTTGTCCACACACGACCACGCCCACAGAGGCAGAGCGATTGGTACTGGCAAGGACGAAAAGGACCTGCCGCTTTCTTGGCTGCGTTGCGTAAGTTGGTAAATAATCTGCAGCTACTTACACAGAAAGTTGCAGGCGGTGGATGAAGCCACCAATCTATATTGTTTTGAAAGATTAAAGACTTATTTTCATTTTTTGCGAGCACTGACAAAGTCCAGGATTATTGGATTATGCTGGCACTTGGTGAATTGTTCTGCAGGCTTTTAAATATATGTGTTTGTATGTAAAAGGACGGCTTAAATTCATTGAACTTCGTGAAACGAATTTATTGTTTTATCAATGACTTCAACATTTCCCATATCCACCGTTGAAGCGCTTAGTGCATTTGGCTGTAATGCCGCCAATTTCTTCATGCAAATGCCTTGGCACTTGGTTTATTTCATTACACACATGTGTGTGCAGCTGTGTGTGTGTGTGCGTGTGTGTGTGTGGTGCATAAAAATTGTCATTTTCCCAGCGATTTTTATAGCGCCCCCTGCGCTATCGCCACCCCAGTTTTCTGTTTTCGCCATCACTCCGAATGCCGTTGACAGCTTTACGTTTTGTGGGCCGCACAGTGACTTACATAAGTACAGCCCCACACACGCACACAACTGCTCCTTTGTGTGTCATTTAGCTTTTGTCTCACGCGTGCCAAGTTTCCCCGCTCCCCGCCCGCCGCCCGAATTTTCCTCATTTTCCGACTTGTTTGTGCTCTTAATTTTCTTGCCAAGTTTGCAGTTTTCGCAACGTTTTTATATGATTTTTATACAAACGTGATGTATTTCTGTGATGCGCCCGCTCACTTTTTATTAACGCAGACACAAGTGTGTGTGTGCGTGTGCGTGTGTGTGTCTTTGTCCTTCGTCCTTTGTTCTGGCTTATTCAATTTCACTTATTGATTTCCCCGCTTATCTGGCATCTACTCGTGTTGCATGAGCGCCAGGGGGAAAGTAAGCAGGAGCACCCTACTTCTGCCTGACAAACGCAAACTGACGGGCCCGGACGGCCATGTGGTGGTCCAGTTTGTTCCAGAACTCCATCAGGATGCCGCAGTCGGAGTGCCGCTCGTTGGGCGAGAGGGCCAGTGGGTGGACCTGGAAGTTGCCCAGCTCCTTGCACACCGGCGTATCCTTGAAGTGCAGATGGAAGGCGCACACCTGGTGGAAGATGGCGGCGGGGTCAGCGCCCTGGGGCCAGCCCTTGAATTGCCAGTGGGGTCCCAAGGCGAACACCGCGGCCACTCGCTGCCACTCGTCGGGGGTCAGGCGGGTCACGTTGTCGATGACCCGGTAGCTCACCAGCTCGCCCTGAAATTTGCATTTCATAAAGCTAATTAATCCGCCGGCCAGGCATGCACTTATTAGAAATTCCATCGACCCATGCCAATAACTATTAGCGAAAATTCCTCTAGCTGCTAGCAAGTTGGTCTTACCCACCTGGAATCGATGCTCGACTATGACCTTCTCCGGATGCTGGCTGTGATGCAGCAGCCGGCGGGCTTGTTTCACGGGCACGTAGCGCATCTCCTGGAGCAGTTCCTTGGCATTGAACAGGGTGATCAGGCTGGTCAGAGCAGCCGGAACCACAATGATGGGCATCCGGGAGAACAGCCTCGAGGGCTGACGTCCAATGGTGGCTTTCTTGGTCATGGGAGTGCTTGGGCCACCCAAGGAACGGCTCCTCTTGAGCTGCTTGCCTCTTGCCGCCGCCTTCTCCAAGTGGCTGCCCCGCGGATTGATGCCGAACTCCTGCTGTTCCTTGAGGTACCTCTCCTGGCCATAGCGATTGTACTTGGACTGCTCCCTGAGCGGCACTGTCAAGCTCTTCCGCTGGGTCGCCACCACCGGCACTTCCCTCACCACCATCGGCGTGGACTCCCGCAACGTGGAGTGCATGCAGCGCCTCTTCGAGTCGTAGACCAGATGGAGGTACTCCTGGGCAGCCGTCATCTTCCTCTCGCCCAGCAGCTGCTCCTCGAACACGCGGTACGACCGCTCCCGCTCCATGGCCCGCCTGCACAGCTCCGCCTGGACGTCGTCCACCCGGCGGTTATTCTCCCGCTGCAGCGCCCTTTTCTGCCTGCCGGCCGCATCGACGCCCTTTTTCATGGCCAGTCGCTTGGCCTTGATGATCGCTATGGCCTCCACGGTCATGGTCTGGCTAAGGGTGTTCAGGATGGGGTTCATTTCGCTTGGTTTTAAAATCAAAGTGCAGCTTGTCAAAGTGCTACGTGCTTTTATCGATACAAACTCCGCATCTGACAACAGCTGGTGGCACACTGGGTTCGATACCCTAATTTACATGTGTCATTTATCATAAGTCGGTGCGTACTAACCAAATTAGGTGGCACTATCAGTATGACCGCACAAGTCGATAACCAAGCCTGAAAGGCTGTCCAATTATGTGAATGCAAATTGCCAAGAGAATATTTTTAATTTCTACATTTTGCATTTATTGGAACTGGCGAACACAGCGAAGTCACCGCTTTCACTCGACAACTCGGTTTTTCTTGGCTCACCTCCTTTGCTGGCACATAAAAAACTCATAAATATTCAAACTTTCTCGCAGCCATCGTTTATTTTTTGTCAAAGCCATTATTTATTTTTATTACATTGCCTTGGTCAGTGGTTCGTCCCGCTGCCCCTCGTTGCGATGATTTTTATTTTTTCGCCCCGAGTTGTTTTTATTCGTAAGCTATTTTTATTTGACAAAGTTTCACCCACGCCCTGGCAAAGCATGGCCAAAGAAATTGTCCCGGCTTTATGTTATTGACTTTAATAACATTTTAGCTGCGAGGCATGAAAATATTTTTATACATTTTTGTTTCTGTTTTCCTCCGCTCGGCCGTTTCTTGCATTCACTTTGTTTTGCCGCCGAAGCCTGAAATTGATTTCTGCAATGGGGAGCCCCTCGTGTTCCCATCATAATTTATGCATCCACCCAGTCAGCCAGTCAGCCAGTCTTCCATCCAGCCATCCAGCTAGCCTCAAAAGCTATTAGCTGGCTGCATTCTCCAGTTATCACGACCCTATGTATGTGCATATACGCGTGTGGCCCGAAGGGATGCCCGTAATTGCTAAAGCGAAATTTCATTACCAAAAACGAAAACGAGCGGTGGCGTTGTAGACGGGTTTCGTTCCGCGTGTGATAAATACCGTAAAAGGTCGCCGCCATCGCCATCGCCATCGCCATCGCCATCGCAGCCTGGGAAATGAAATTTTCATCCAGACTCTTGTGGCAGCCATTTTGTCGCTGGCGTTGCACTAGAAAATGTCTGAATGGCGGATTGGCGGATTGGCGGCTGTGGCATCGTTGTCGCCATTTTTGTTTATGGCCGCATTTGTCACGGCAAATTGTATTGCCAACTGGCGCGGCATATTTACCATTTTCCGCTGCTGCCGCGTTAAGAATGCGGCATAAAAAACGCGATGAACCGAGAGGCTCACCTTACGTCTACGGCCTTTTGGCGTGTTAATTAAACCGGCGGGAATGGCCACGGTGATCTGATTGCTCATTCGGCTCAGCACTAATTAAGTTTATGGCATTGTGGCGAAAGGGAAAAAAATGTATGGCATGACACATTTTTCGGATTTATATTTCATGCAGTAAGAGCGAAGCTTAAAAAGGCTTATTCAAGGACCAGGATGACCAGAAAAATCGAAAACAATGCGGAAAATTGAAATTGTAAAGAACGGCTTACTGACATAGATATGAAATGCCCGTTCTAGATTTTCATTCACGATTCTTTTGCAAGGAGTCAGCGGAGCGAACACGAGTTGCGAGTGCATAACTTCAAATTTAATCAGAGAAGAATGCGACCACGCACAGCCATTCTGGCCGCGGGGAAATGGAATCATCGCTGGCCAGCGATTCGCAGCCAACTGCATGGAATCGCATCAGAGCAAGGAAAAGCAGAAGGCGGAAGGGAAATGGGAAAAGCGGGTTGCACCCGCCTTCGGCGATCGGGCCGCCCAACTGGCAACTAATTTCGCCTCAGTGACAAGACAAGGCCATCAAAATTCCCCACCCGAAACGAGCCATGGCCAATTATTGTTTGCGGCTCCCTCGTTTTATTACGTAGCCGCAGCGTTGGCCCGTTTACGGCGCACGACCCTCGGCGGACTGGCAGCTGCCGGAGAGCTGGGAAAAACAATTTTGTCAGCTTATAAACAGTAAAAGTAAAATGCCGGACTAAACAAATACGAGGACCAACGGCACAACTATAAAGCGCCATTGAGACACGCACACATGCACGCGCACACACAAGACAGCCAGGTTCATATGCATTTGGTGTATACACTGCGCAAAACCGCTTATGTATATAGCAAAAAATTAAGTCTCTCGCTTCTCCTTGCTGTCTATACACTGGAATTGAAACTAATTTTTATTTTTATTACTACTTTTCACTTGGATTCTAGGCAGAAATATGAAACATAAATAGTTGATATGATAAATGATAGTCTGTCATTTCTCCCTGTGCACACATGTTTGCTCGGCCCCTTTCAAGGCCGACACTTTATTACTTTCCTCGGCGAATTATTTCCATTATGTTTTCGCATTCGGAGCAGATTCATGTGCGCAGCGCAGGCCAATTTAATGGAAATGAGATTGGCTTCGGCCGAAGGTGCAAGGAAGCCGTTGGACGGAGAATGGAAACACGCCTGTTAAGTGGGCAAATAGTGTCGGCGCTGCTGATCAATTTCAGCGACCCCCTATCGTCCTTTGTCAGCACAAGGACCCCGAGCTCCGATCAAGTTGTTTCCCATGGCGAATCTCGACCACGTCGTCCCAGACTTCAGATGTGAGTGGCAGGCTGCAGGTCTGTTTGTGTGCTTGATTGTGCTCAGGCTTACACACATGCCTCATATACTGGAGCACCGAGTCCGCCAACCTTTTCAAAGTTCCACAGAAAGAGGAAAAAAACGGAAAACGGAAAAACAGCTCGACTGCTGCAGCCGCAGTTGCAATCTGTATCTAGTTTCTAGTATCTTTCCGTTGGCACTGCCGGCGTGTCCACTTGGATGTCTCTCCATCATGTTTGCACATTTTGATGGCTGTTTGATGTGCAACAGTTGCACTTCAAGTGGCCAGTTGCTGCTGTCATCTCGCTTTGCGAAAGCGAAATATCAAGCATTCGCCATGTGGTCCGACTCTTGGCACTTCCGCCCGCAGGGGCCACTTGGCCAGAGAGAAACTTTTTATTCAATTTGATATTCTTGAACTGCAAGCAGCTGTTGCAACTTGCCCACAAAATTGAATCCGAGAACGGATGCCAGCACACGAAATTAAGCGGAAACTCTGAAATTTATTTTGCCATGGCTTATGACAGAATATTTATATCGATTTTCTAAGGCGCTGGAATATCTCTCAAGCTTTAATCAGCTGACTTTGCTTTATAAGTGGGCCACACGTGTACTCGTTCTTCCCACTGACTTTTCCATTAAGCCAGCGCTGAGCTGAGTCCTTCCTTTTAACAGAACTTGCTCAGGCAATCAACGAGTCAACCTTGCGGAGCAGCTGCAACTTTACGCACTCAGAGAAAATGCTCGGTGCAGTTTTAAAAATAACTAAGCATCGCTTAGCTTAAGTAATATAGCTGTCGCAAAAAGTAACTTTCTCAGTTATAAGTTGGTTTTTCCGGCGAGTGTCCCTCCGACTAACAGTTTAGCATGACATTTGCAGGCTGACAGGAAGTGCGGAAGTGCACTTCAAACGGAAATTGCGACACACATATTGCCAGCTTCCTTTGACTCGACTCGCTTCGCTCTTTAACAATATGCGCACGTATGCTAATGCCGATGTATCTCTCGCTTCCCCTAAATTGCCGTAATTTATTACGGAAAGTGGGCGGTCTTCTTTGCTCTTCAAATGCATTTCAATTGCCAAGTGTGTCAAAAGTTTCAACGCTTTTCGGGCTCTTGCAGCTCACCTGCCACCTGTTCTTCAGCTCAGACTGTCTGTCTGTCTGTCTGTCTGTCTGTCTGCGCTGCTGGCCAAAAGCTCATCACATTTGCCACTTAGTCAGCTCGTCAGCTTTTGTTGCAGCTCCTGCAGCCCGTACACCTGAAGAAAAGCATGGGGCTTCCATAAACCAAAGGCTTTGCATTATTTCTCAAAAAATAGCCAAATCTCATTCCATTTATGGTACATTTGAAACTGGAAATACACACTTTTTACATAGAGATTTCTTTATAGTTCTGTTATAGATCGTTCCTTAGTTTGCAGTGTATCTCACGTGCAGTTTGGTGTAAAATATTTTAGAGCGTTATACGGTGTGTGCAGCAACTGTAAACTGCAAAATGCTACTAATTGTTTTGCCGCCAATTACGTGCACAAGTGTGTGTGGCAGCGTGCAGCTGTGTGCGTTTGTCTGTCGTTTGATGTATGCGCTCTGTTTATTAAAATTTATTTTGTCGAGCACCTACTTTTCGGTGCTACTCGGCGCCAGCACTCACCTTGCCGGTAATTTGTGCATTTTCGCATAACATTTAGCACAATTTTCCGCATTTTGCGGCTTCGAGTGACAGAGCCAGGAATCCTGCGGAATGCTGGAGCTTTTTGTTTTCAAATAGATGGGTAAGCACGAAAGCCAGTGCTATAAAGGCAGCTAAATGTTGCTATTTAAAGGTGTAATGTGAATCAACGCGCGGAATCAATAAATTCCCAACATTATGCATAAAGAAAACCAATAATGTGCGCGGAGATCGAAAGGCGATCTGTTATTTATTAAATCACATAAATGCCTCTTAAGCACCTTGAACAATAACCATTAACTTAGCCGCTGGCCATACAGGCTGACCCCGTTCCCGGGCCACGGAGCCATACTCACCCAAAGCCAATGCACTGAGGCGTTAAGAGGAAGGCGTTTCCACCTCTCATGGCATAACGCGCATACGCACCGTTGTGCGGCGGGGGAGGCAAACAAACATAAGAGCAAACAATAAATGGAAAAAATAAACCGTACAGCGCTTTTTGTGAAAATAAATGATTATTTAATATTTATTTTCATGTTGCTTGAGGAAGGTAAAAGGTGGACGTTGGCCAGCGGCTGCATCATTTTTCATGCCACTTCAAGTGAGTCTAAGTGCCTCGCCTGGCCGGCCATTAATGCCAACTGATTGGTCAGTAGACAACTAACCATTGGAGCCGAGGAAGCGCCAGACACACACACACACACTTGTATTTATTATTTTGCCAACGTTTCTGATTATTTACGCCTGATAGGACTCGGCTCTGGAGGGTGTAA